AACGAGGGGTTTTCTACGCATTATCCTGCCAAAACAAACTTCTTTCTTCCCCTATCGTGAAGCTTGGCCGAGGGAAGAGCAGATTCTTTTAAACGAAATCCCGTCCAATGAACAACTCCCTCTTGCCTTCACAAGCTAGGAAACATTTTTTAATTTCTCTCTCTACAAAATACACGGAGAACATTATTGTTTTCGTAAAAATGTACGAGTTTGAGTTTTGTTTTGAGTGGTCGGAAACATCTATTTCAGTACTGTAACAATTACCGTTTATCTTTGTTTACATTTCTGTGATTTTACCCACAAAATATAATATTTAGTCGCACCAATTATCCGTTATAAGGGTTGTTGACAAACTAATGGGAGAAAGTATGTTAGTTTGTACCGTTTAACAAATGAAATTAAATGAAATGAAATAATGAAATGAAATGAAATAATATTTTATTTCCCAACTGCATAGTACAGTTTCTCGGTATTTACATAATAATTATACAATCCTTAACTTTAAAAAAAATACAAAAGTATATTATATCTAAATGGAACAAAGAGAAAAAAAATACCTTTTCAAATTATAACAGAGTTGATACCATTAATTTACTCTATGAGTTATATTGGGTTTTCTCTTGCAAAACATTGAATCCCATCCACAGGATTAGCCAGTTCTTTATTTAAAGAGAACAAAATGTAATGAAACTCCCCTTGGGTCAATCTAAATATATAAAAGGCAAAGCCCTCACTGACTGACACACTCACTCACTCACTCATCACTAATTCTCCCACTTCCCATTTACCTAGGAGGCTGAAATTCGGTACACCGATTCTTTGGGCATTAAATAGGAAAACTAAGTAGTTTTTATTCTGATCGGGCTTTCGGGCTCCGCCCCAGTGGCTGTGGAGTTTCCCATGTTAACCTTATGATTTTTCATATTTAAAAGGAATTAATTAATCTTAACAGCTGTTTCAATTAAACAAGTTGGTTCTGTTCTATGATGTTCAATAGCATTAAAGTTACAAGGATTACCAACAGGGTGCAGCGCTATTATTTTTTTTTAAATTTATGACTACAGCCAATTTGCAAACAAAAGGTGAGTGAGCGTAGCGAACGAACTTTAACCTGGAAGCGAGTTAGCGTAGCGAACGAGCTAACCTGAAGGCAAGTGAGTGGAGCGAACGAGCTCCAACCTAAAGGTGAGTGAGCGTAGCGAACGAACTTCAACCAGGACGTGATTGAGCCATGGGAACGAGCTCACTTGTGAAGTTAAACGGGGCAAAGCCCGCGGGTACAGCTAGTTACTACTAAACCCCTATGTATGCTTTGTTTTCTCTTTAGTTTTACAACGCCTACAGACGTTGGATGCTGCATGGTAAACATTGTGATATTTTGCTTGCGTACCAGAAAATGGAGTCGTATTGAATGTCTAAAAAAATATTTACATCAATTGCACATGAAGAAAATTATTTTTTTACACATTTGGATACAGAGAAATGTTACATTTTTTGCCGATAGTTGATGTTAAATTCATACAACTACACGAACAAAAACCACTAATTTCCTACTTTATGGTACCATTTCTGACGTTTAAATGCTGACTTGTAAATTTTTTCTAATATTATATTTTTATGAATTATTTAATCAAAATACGCAACAGCTAAATATGCTTTTCATACTAAATATTTTCGTGTTTTTGTGTAGGATATCCCCATGGGATGGTTTTTCCTATCCTATGTTAGGAAAATGTTGGTTGGCCGGGCGGACATTTTGAGACATTTTTTTGCCGGTGACCAACCGTGGGTAAGAACAATGAGCCAACGTTGGACCAACAACTGTGTGCTGCTTGGGATAGGAGATCAAGAATGCCCCAGTTAACAACCGCTGTAAGTTTCAAAAACACATCTTAATATTTGTGGTGCAAGCACAGTGGCAACACAGGTGCCTTTCAAGGAATAACAAAGAAACGAGCAACTGGAAGAACACTCTACTGTCGGGGAAAAAAGTTTAGACACTCGAGTTTGGAGCTCTACAGAAAAGTAACCAACTAACTTAGAAAAACACGTAGTATATAAAAATTTTTGTTGTTTTATTCTACGTATCCCTGTGAAAACAACAATTTTTTAGCTTGTTTAGGAAATTTTTTATGACAGTCGGAAGGTAAAAACTGCCTGCTTTTAGAGCACCAAAAACCATCTCATGACTTTAAAAATTCGCACAATGTAAACTAAACGACAGAACTTTATCAAACTTTAATACAATATGGACACACATATAATGAATTAATTTGTGTAGTTTCAGAATTTTTACTCTACCCAAAAAGTTTTTGTTGTAATTTTTGTAAATCAACTTTTTCTCAAAAACGGCAAACGCTAGAAAAAAAATTAAAAGCTTGTTTCGAAGGTGATTGTTTTTGTATTTGAAGTATTGATACTGCTCAACCAAATTATTACGCATGTTATTCTTTTTTTAAGCTATAGCTTCTTCCTCCAGAAATGCCTCAAGGAATGCCATAACTCCCTCTATTGAAAATGAGTGAGGTGGACAACAGTCCAACAAAACCCTCTGAGTTAGCATTTGACGTTACAAATAGCGTTTGACGTTAGAAAGTAGGAAATTAGTGTTTTTTTGTTAAGTTGTATGAATCTAACGGGGACTATTTAAAAATACCCCATCCACATCAAACCTGCAGACTTAGCGAATTTCCATTAGCCTGATTGGATTTACACTAAAATGCCTCCTAAAAATATCACATTTTTCCCTATTTAAATAGAATTAGTTTAACAGGTTTGCTGCAACAGGTAGGGTAAATAAGTACTTTTTTTGTAAAACGTTAATAGTTTAGTAAGAAATGAATGTAATTTCAAAATTCGATCAAAATATGTTAATAAACAAGCAAACTACGACAGTTGCCTTATTCTTCGTAAGAATAACTTGGGAATTTTAAATTTACAATTTTTTGGAATTTCTCCGTAACCATTAGGCGCACAATAACGCTTCAATATACTAAATTGTGTTTTTTTAAGCTCTACAAAATGGTTTGGAAAGAAATTGTGAAATTTTGTGTTTTTAGGGTTAAAAATGGGAAAACCCAATTTTACCCCATAAAACCCCCCATAGTCTCATTATGATGGTTCGAGAACTCGTTCTAATAAATGTAGGTTTACAAGTTTGTACAAAATTTCATCAAAATCGGATAATTTTTGCTCGAGTTATCGTGCTAATGGACACGATTCAAATATATATATGAATTTGAACGGATGGTGTTTTTGTCCTCTAGGGACCTCAAAACGAAAAAGTAAATCGGTCCCGGGTCCAGGTCTTACCATGAGTACTACGGAAATAGCTTATTCCCTATATGGAAAATTCGCTAAAAAAATTGATCTTACCTCTGTGTCCAAGAGTGTAAAAAATCCTTTTTGCATAATTGATTAATGTAAATATTGTTACAACTATTTTTTTAAGTAGTTTTGAAACTAATTGTAATTCACCTTACAAAACCAACGATGTTGTTGACAAAATTGCAAAATCGATAACCACATTAATGATGAATAAATAGTTTAGTGAATAAATATGTTCACCAAATTGTTATAGTATTCCCGAGGTCCATCTAGTATGGAAAACTTAAGTTTTTATTTTATTAGGTTGATTGGTGTTTTAGACATTCATTACGCCTTCATTTTCAGATACGCAAGCAAAATAACACAATGTTTACCATGCAGCATCCAACGTATGTAGGCGTTATGAAACTAAAGAGAAAATAAAGCATACATAGTAATTGACCCAAATGGAGTTTCATTGAATTTTTTCTCTTTGAATAAAGAACTGGCTATTTCTGTGGATGGGATTAAATGTTTTGTGAATAGGTTCATTCACAATTTCACAGGTTCACAAGGTTCATCTGCGCATTGTCAAGAGTTAATCGAGGGATTGCTTATTGAGCCATTTTCTATAGAGAGAGTCAAAAGCATAAATAAGAGAAGTAAATTATAAGTAAAGAAAAAAGAGATGGCAAAACTTGAGAAAATTGCTTATAACGAAGAGTTAAAAGCAAGAGGTTGTTTATTGATCAATAACATTTACTCATGTTTTTATGTTGTAATCTATAATATTTTTTATAAAATAAGGTAATTTTTTTATATTGAAGCTCGCTCCGATCAATTGGCCGCATACCTAGTAATATTCTTCTCAGAGACAGTGGAATTCCAATGGCGAAAGAAGAAATAACAAAATTGTGTGTAAAATTTAAAAAAAATAAAATCGTTCTAATCACGATTTTTTTTTCTGGCTTTAAAACATCTCGGATAATAGTACAGCTACTTACAGACTGAAAAGAACACATGTTTAAGACCTCAGCTCACGCTTTGTTTAAATAATTTTATTTTACAGTATATTGCTGTTTTTTCCTTCAAATATTGTTTGAGTTACGTCTGTCGATGGATAGAGACTGAGTAACGTTTTATAAATTGTTCTCATATTTGCTGAATGTTCAAAAAGCTGAACAGATTGTAAATAAAAACTGTGATGAAACAAACAAAATAAGGATTTGTTGTTCCTCTCTCCACAAGTCAAATCTAAAAAAAAGTCAAAATTTAATTAATTTAAAGTTTTAAACGAAATACCTATTTTCTCAGATCACAATGGATATAGTTTTTTCCAAACATTAAAAAACAATGACCATAAAAATATAGAATTTTACATTTGACATTAGTATTTGTGGCTAAAATCTCAACAAAAACTTCTGCCAAATCTAAGAGATCAATGTGCAACGCATATTGTAGCTTTGGCCAATTTTAGTTGAGGGACCATTTTTTGGAAACAATAGTACACTATTACTTCTGTTGTCTTGGGATTATAAACTGCATAATACGAACAAAGTTAAAATGTAATAATTTTTTAGATAATAATATTCTAGGGCATAAAAGTTGGCAGTTTGTACATCGTAACCTAAGTAAACATATGCTTAAATAGCGACACACATGTGGTAGAAGATTATGTTCATTGTCATTTTAGTATTTAACGGCGTGACTTTTAGGTCGATTTTAGTACATCTTGCCTCTGACTGAAACCAACATGCAAATGCTTAACTTGATTATATTTTGCGTAAGTTTAAAGTTTTAAATGTTTTATTTCAAAAATAATGAATTACATGCCTATGTTTTATTTTATTGAGTTGTTTTAAGACTTATTTTGATTGGTCGGTATAATTTCTAACAGTTTAGAAAATAAATATCAGTTCATTGCTTAATAAACATGGCAAAAATTCCATGTATTTACTGTAAAAACAAGCTAGTCAAACAATTTTTAAAATCATATTAGAATGTATAGGTTTTAAGCTTAATTTTGTTATTTCAATGATTTTAGCAACTTTCCCTATGGAAGCAGCTACTGTATTACCGTAGGTGGCAAGAGCTAGACCCTGGACCGATATATTTTTTTTATTTTGATGTCTCAATAGGCCAAAAAACTATTCGTTCAAATATCTCCATGAATGCGATATCTTGAGTAATTTTTGTCCAATTAAGATTAGATTTGGTTTGAAGGTGTCGGGCGGGATGAACTTTAAATGAGTTCACGAACCTATATGATTGGACTATGGAATCTGGCTGTTATGGGGTTTTATGGGATAATAATTGGTGTTTCTCATTTTTGACCCTCGAAACATAACATTTTCCAATTTCTATTCAAATATCTTTAAAGAGCTTAAAAAACAAATGATTTAGTACCTATATTGAAGGTTTATTTTACGGTTGTTGGTTACGGATAACATGTTATTCTTATCGAAAATAAGTAAACTGTTGTAGTTTGCTTGTTCATGGCTAGATTTTGATCAAACTTGGCAAATGTATTTATTTTATATTAAGCTACTAATATTTTACAAACTTTATAACCTCCCTCTAGCATAAACCTAGGTAATTGTTTAATCTAATGTTATTTAAATAAATTTAATTGAACATCTAATCAGATAAATGTAAATTCGCTTAGTCTGCAGGTTTGCTGCGGTGGGGTTATTAATTTTTTATTTAAATTCTATACGCATGCTGTTTACATGGGAGCTTTCCATAAAGTTATTTAGGTTTATTTTGTGATGATTTTTTTAGGCATAAAGTTAATTAGGTATGTCGATTTTTAAATAATTGAATGTATTATAAATAAGATGTAACCACCTAGTAAGAACACAACGATTTTCATTTCAGCTTTATTTTTCAAACGCCAAAAAATGCATATCGTTTCATGTTGTGAAGAATAATTTTTTTTTACTTTATAAATAACAAAGTACAGTAGAACTAAATGAAATATGTAACTATATATGGTTTTGATATTCTTTTACAGACGTTCGCCTTCTCTGATGCCTACGGTAAGTAATCCTACTCCTAAAAGTGCAACCATTGACTATGAACCTTATGGTTTACAGCCCGAGGATTTCTGTCGTTTGAACCATTAGAAGAATTTAATAAAGCCAAATTTTATTTTTACCCTCAAGACTGATAAAATGGTTACAACATATAAGTTAAACACATTTTCTTATCGTCAAACCACTTATTAGAATGAGCATAGTCAAAAAGCAACTGTTAATCATTACCTCTGGCATAGTAAAAAATCCATGGTAAGTGTAAAATCCCTATCCATAAACTGCCATCAAATAGCATAATACCTCCTTATGTCCTACATTCAAATCTCAGGACACTACGGTTGAAACGAACACCTACTTAGAAGTAGTAGAACTGTTTTACACATTACTTCAGACCAGGTCTATAGGGGGTTGCTGTGTTTTCACATAGATACTATCCATTTGTGATTGGTGGGGTTTTAACCCGGGAATTCGAAGCCCCTAGCTTCCACTAGACCAGTTCGATACCCAATCAGCATAATACTATTTTCTATTTAGTAATTACTAGATTACCCATATACTTGTTTTAAGAAGTTGGTGGACTCTTTTAACCTTGCATTTGCCCATCCACATAGACTAACTGCCCGTGCGTGGGACGTATCCAGCAAAGCTAGGGTTGACCCGGTACAGTACGTAGGTGAACTGTACTGATGAAATGTTAGCGGTAAAAAAAAAACAGAAAAAAACTGTTACCAGGATCCGACGCGCTGCCTTGGGCCCAAAGTCGGTGACGCTACCGACTGAGCCACCGACTCACCAAATAATAATCTTGATGCTGGATATATTATTTGTCGCTTGTTCCCTTATGACAGTTATTGGAAATTCCTATTGTAAAAAAGAAGACTGTATTGAGACACGCCCCTCTCGCCTCTGAACTTAGATTCAATCAATCTTATTTTGCGAAACTCTGTTAGACCTACCACGACGACAACTTTATCACAAAAATTTTGTGATTTTGTGACGATCGGTTTATTATATTAATTAGCCTACAATATCAATGTTTCTTTTCTCCTTAAGGGCAACAATACTCTTTACAAATAAATATAACCAATTGTCACGTTTTTTCAGTACTATCGTTTGTTGATTATATGGAAGAACTACGGGAAATTGTAAAAGGAGATGTGGGGTGGCCCAGAACTGAACTGACCTGCTATGAGAAGACACTAAGGAGGGGTTCACTTGTGAAACCTGATTCCATAGAATACTATGAAAAGCTGACTTATGCCAAAAATGTCAACTTTCCCCATACTTTTGTCGACTGGTATCGTGTTGACAACTGCATTAAAAATGGCGAGTTAAAAGGTGTAAGAAGAGTACTGCCTGTTAATAATGACGAAATTGACGTCGAATACAACGGGAAAGATTCAATAAAGAAAAAACGCTACAGACTAGTTAATGGCGCCTATGTTCGTGTGGACTAGTGAAGAAGCTGGATGTACAAGATAGCAATAAACTTCTTGTTGAAAGAAAAGCATTTTTTATCACTCCATATTCCACACTTGAAAATAGACTATAGTCGAGATTAATTAATAACAATAAGAATAGGAATACTTTATTACCGTTTCACTGGTTTACATGCATGGCACAGTCAGGAAACGTCTTAGAACCAAGGTTTTAACTTTTAATTTATGAAGTCTGTTTCTTTTTACAGACACAGGTTCCCTCTTAGGTTCCGCCCGCCGGAAAGTTTTTATAAAGTACGGTATTTATAACATCATTTTAAAAATACGCAAATTAGTTTTTTCACATGTGATTTTAACTTCTAAATTATTTATTTTATTTTTATTATGTTGTATTTATTTTTTTTACTTGTTTTATTTGTAAATAGTAGTGAAACATAATTTTCCCCCATCCACTGCAAGATCTGATGTGTTAAGAGTACAAAAGCATACAATCACTGGAAACAAATTTGTTTGAGAATGTTAACATATTATCCCGTGGGTGTAATGGTGTCTAGTAAAATGAAAAAAGTAGTTTACTAATTAATTGTAGTACTCTATCAACCAGCCTGCTCAATTGTTTTAATTATTTCATAATTTTGTACAGGGTAAATGTATTTTATAATTACATCTTGTTGACAGTTGACGAAAGGTACAACAGATCAATAACATTTTACAAGGGTCTAAGATCAATTCATTGACTAGTCAACAGATTGCACAATGACTTGTCACAGAATTACCTTTCATTACTGAACCGTCGACCTCTAGGAAATGGCTTCTTAAGAGGAGATTCCTTGACATCCGAGCTAACTACTAGGTATCTCGTGCCTGCCTCTGACTGCATAAGTGAGTGTAAGGGTTTGATTACTGTGATCACTTTTACTATTAGCAGTAGGTAGTTATGAGTAAAATACGTATTCCGTAAAGGTAAAAGTAATGTAAACGCCTAGTTCGTTAAAGATTTTACAAAAAAATTAAAAAAATTAAGTCAATTTATTAGTTGTAAAATAGCCAAGCTTAATTGCCTACACGAATGCACGAAAATTTATTTATTTTTTTTAGATTTCAGCAATCTATGATTAAAATTCCAAGAATAATTTTACCCGTTTGGTAATTATTTTTTCACCCAAACTGGTTATCATTAAATACACCGTGTCCCAAAAAGAATAGACCAAATTTACAGCTTAATATACGTGCTACTGTATTAAGGGTCGTAGACAAGTAAACTATGGGGTTTTATAAAGGTGACATCTTTTTGTTCAGTACCCTTCAACAGGAATCAGCTGTTCCATTGTTGTTAGCGCGTTTGATTTTTTAAACATTAGGCTGCAATATGGAGTTTCAGTTGAAAGCAGTGTTTGAATTTATTATAGAGACAAAATCTGTGGTTTTATTTTTTTTCTAGGGGTTTGTGAAAGATCAAGTGTACCTCTCGGACGCCAATCTCAAGCATACATGAAGCAAAGATTAGGGAAGCTTTTAGATAAATGTCTTATTTACGCCACAATGTGTGGTCAGAGCTGGACCACTGACTTGGCATTCTTTGAGCAAATAACGGAGAACGTGTAGAGGTTAGGGGGTGAAAAAATGTTAGGAAAACCCATTGAATCTACCTATATTCAATATAAAAAGTTTGGAAGTTAAGGAAAACAATTTATGTAAAGCTAACTTTTTATCTTCATTAATAAAGTGTTCATGTCAGTTTGCATTTTATCCATTCTTTTAGCGACAGTAGGTATTTTATTTTATTTGTACTAATTCGCGAACCAGCGTGATCGGACTATGGGAACGGTGTTTTACGGGGGGGGGGGGGGGGTTGACGTCATTTGCCACTTGGGTCTGATAATGATTAAAATGTCCAATCAAAATCGATCTGACATTTATTTATTTATTAACGGATACACCATTTTACAAGAAAATACAGAGTGTCTTTATGACAAATGACTGGTCAGTACATAAGTAGTGAACTAACTGGAAACAACAAGATCTCAAAAACAAGACATACAAGATAACCTCAAAAAATTATTTACTACAAATAATGAACTATAAGAACAAGTTAACAACACGATATATTCACAAAAACAACACCAGTATAACAATAGAGAACAATAATTATAGCAATACAGTAAAACCGTGCAACATGAGTAAATACAGGCAGAACAATGTTGATGAAAACCAGATAAATACTTGCAGAAAAATAACAGGCTGTGTAACAAGAAAAAAAATAACAACAGGGTATAACTCTAGTAACAAAAATAAATAACAATGCAGTAAATAAACAGTTTAGGAACATGTTTTATACGTATTCAACATCTTGTGAGTTAACAGCATGAGTGTAAATATATGTTTCAAGTGTTTTTAGACGTATTTTCATTTACTTTTTGTAAATTTATTACATGTATAATGCACATCAAGAAGTTGTTTAATAAGATATAATCCTACTTACAATAATTCTAAAATTAATTGCATATTTTAGTGCAAATATGTAGAATCATGCATAAGATTTATCTCGTTATTAGTCACAAAATATCACTTATTTTGTAGAACAAAGTACAGTTTGAACTATGCTTTTTAGGTACAGTATAATTTGTAGCTTACATGGACGTACAAGCTAATTTCCTAACGATTCCCCTTATTGATTTTTATCATCGATGTGCATTGACAACTCTACACTAAAATTCTCTAATTTTCGCATAAACATTTAAGTAAAAAGCCCCAAAATACATTTTTGCTGAGTTTTATAAAAATATATTAAATAGTTGTTTGCGCACTCGTGTTACACATTAAATTTTTCCCATAGTTACGATAAAATCATATAAAATGTTTAGTCTTTCAAACACTATACGACACGTTATTATTATGTAGGTTAGGTAGAATGAAATAGGAAACGCTGCACCAGCTCCAGCTGGTCGTAGTAGAATCCTTGGAGGCTAGCGGCCATATTGGATAATTTCAAACAGCTGTTAAAGAGTTATTTACTGTCCAAAAATATCCCGGGTGTCCAAAACCACCCGTACACCCCTTACAAAACGATGGAAACCTTTTCTTACAAACAAAAAATAATACAGAACTAGCTAAATTGGGCACGGTCTACCAAATCATGATAATTTCAAATCCAAAATCACACCGGAAGTGGATTTTTCAGACCGGAAGTTGACTTTTTTAATGTAAACTACAGTACCAATTTTGATTACAGAATCGGATTTTACGTTGAAAAATACATAACTTTTGTCTAAAACATTTTTTGAAAAAACTTGTTTTCTACCTCTAATGCCCCATTAAAGTCAATAATTTTTGGTCATTCGTGTGTCAAAGTTACTCGAAACAATAATAGAGAAAAACAAATAACAAAGATTACATAAAGACATATGATAAATAGAATCAGCTGTTTATTTTAAACACCTAAATATACAATTGAGTATCAGCTGGTCTACACATTGCTAAGTTTAATTTTTTTAATAATTAATTTTTACATTTGACCCCTTAATATAAAAACAAATGATTTTTTTTATAAAATGAAACTAAGCAATGTGTAGACCAGCAGTTACTCAATTGCTAAGGTGTTAACAATGAACAGCTGATTCTATTTATCACATGTCTTTATGTAATTTTTTTTGTTATTAGTTTTTCTCTATTATTGTTTTGGGTAACTTTGACAGATGAATGACAAAAAATTATTGACTTTAATGGGGCATTAGAGGTAGAAAACAAGTTTTTTCAAAAAATGTTTTAGACAAAAGTTATGTATTTTTCAACGTAAAATCCGATTCTGTAATCAAAATTGGTAGTTTACATTTAAAAAAGTCAACTTCCGGTCTGAAAAATCCACTTCCGGTGTGATTTTGGATTTGAAATTATCATGATTTGGTAGACCGTGCCCAATTTAGCTAGTTCTGTATTATTTTTTGTTTGTAAGAAAAGGTTTCCATTGTTTTGAAAGGGGTGTACGGGTGGTTTTGGACACCCGGTATATTTTTTTAACACCAAAGTGATTATAGTTTAAATATCTTGTATACTGTGAGATGCGAAATGTTCTTCGTAGTTATGTAGTTTCCAAGGGAATCCATGGAAGCTAACGGCCATATTGGATTTGCCCACCATAAGAGCAATATTAATTTCGTTGATTTCAAACAGCCGCTGAAGAGTTATTTAGCATCTCAAAATATTTTTTCAAACACCAAAGTGATTTAATTTAAATATCTTGTATACTGTGAGATTATAAATTTTCTTTGTTGTTCTTTAACCGTTTTACGAGTTAGAACGTCTAGGCTCCAAGGACTCAACTTATTTTCAAGCATACACGTATTAAGTGCCTAATAAAAGTACTGTTTTGTGTTGTTTGGTTGAAATACTGGAGTGCGGCAAAAATAAGTAAATGCAGCAATTAGCTAATTTGCGTGCTATAATCAGTGCGAGCCCACTTTTCAAGTAACTCTAGGAAACCAAATGAGAATAAAAAAAATCACCTAAACAACGTTTCCATGACACAACGGAGTTTCCTATGGTTTCCCCTGTATGGCTCCTATCACCCCTCCCCTACCAGCTGACCAAGTCGACGCCGACGATCTAGGAGGTCTTCAGTTCTCAGTGATCAAGAAGGCAGTGCGTCGCTGCCGACATCGCAGTGCGCATCAGTGTCAGTGCGCGCCGAGTAACAGTGTGCGGAACTATTTCTCGTGTGCCAATAAAAATAGAGGATTTAAATCTCAGGTCAGTAAAGTTCTTTGATTATTTAAAAAAAAAAAAAAAATGAAACCATAGAGTGATTTTAGTTTTAATTTTACGTGAATTATAAGTATGTTTGAAAGAAAATAACTTATGATAAATAGGTATTTTTTAATAGAAAATGTATTTATGTAGTTACTACACACTTTATGATTACTGGTACGTAAACAGTTGAACAATGAATACAACCTACTCCCCTTTTAGCAAAGAGTTTTATTATTCTAAAACGTAATGAAGTAATTTTGAAACTAACGCAGAATTTAACAACAATAGGGGTTTATTGTTACTCGTTCTATATTTTAATTTTACTTCACGTCATTAATGGGGTTTACTGCTTTTAGCATGGTAGAAATTAGTTTTTTGTTGCTGTTAAGGAATGGAAATAAGGTCACATCATGTTAATAATTTTATAAGTCGTATGCTGTTTTAAAAAGACATATTTTTAATGAATGAACTTGTATTACGTTCCTACTTGAAAAGTGTCTGATTATTATATTTTTTTAATTGAATAACTTCAAGTAGCCCAAATTATAGGATAATAGGAATAACAGTAAGCTAAGATATTGGATCAACTTTGGTACCTATTGTTTGAAAATGTATAAAATGGTATAATACCAGTGATTTATTTTAAAGTCCTTTCATTAAATAAGTAGTTTAATTGAAGTAGATATTCGCACTCTTCTTCCATATTGGGTCTTTTAAAATTATGCACCATATTTTAAGAACAATATCAATAGATAATTTATATTACTGCGTTGCAAACCGAAGAAATTTGTGGATTTTATTAGAAATTTACTTATGTCATTGTTTATCGACCACACAATGTGGTCTACGAGAATGTGGATATTGAATTACCAACGATTTTAATTAGAAAAATACTACTAAGAGAAAGATAAAATGATCTTTAACATTTTAGACACATTTTAATTATTCACTACAGAGTTACGGTGGAACTTTTCACAATATCGATTACTCAATGGCTAATGGCAAGTTATCATGAAGGCATGTTGTATGATGGCGGTAGGATTACTAATTGGCGGGATTTCCCGGTCCAGGATCTTTCTTTTGGCGGGAACACTCACGACAAACATTAACGACTCACAGAATCCACCAAGGACAAAAGTGAATCACCTAGGAGACTTTTTGTAAATATCTAACATTATTCTCCATGTTCTTCCTTGATAAAACACAAACCTAATATGTTTACATTTAAATAATGTAAATATAAGTTAAAGATTGTTGAATTAATGGATGGAAAGGTGTAATATTATAAATTGTATTACATACCTTCATGTAAGAAAAGATTTGAATGAAATAAGTAAAATATTGCTCAATAAAAGTTTGAAAGTAATAAAATTGTCACCAATTAAAAAACCTTTTTTAGAAAAACTAAATTAAATTTTTTGACAGTATGGTATAGTCCTCAATACAGTAGTAAATTATAGTCGAATGATGCATTTTATGCTGTATTTTGCTTCATTTAACGATTTTCCCCCTCGAAAACAGTATGTACTTCAAATTGCATTTTCTTTTGAAATAACCATGTTCCGTCTTGAAGGAGATGATGGAGAAAATGTTTTTTAATGTTCTTTGACATGTTGTACAAATTGAAACAAATCAGTAAATTGTAAACACAACGTTCATACCAGAGTTTATTTCATTTTAAATTTAGCTCACACCTCAAAGAATGATTCAAACGAAGACTACAGAAAGAGAGTTCATGAATTTTTGAAATACAAGAAAATAGAAAAGGAAAACTATTGATTGACATTGGACATCAAATAGTGTTTTCATTACCGATTAATATGAAAATTATTATTTGCATAGCTTAATAATATTGATAATTTTTATTGTAATATCGAAAAGCACTAAGCTGCTAACTATCGTAAACAAGACAACTTCTTTCAATGCCAGTCATATGGAAAATTCCATAATAGATACACTTGTACATAGTGTCTTTTTCTGTGATAATCTTTCATTGTAATGCTCGTTTCGTAGTTTTTGCGTTGAGCCGGTACAATTAATAAATACGCAGCCGTACAGACAAAAACCACATAGCAATAGTGTTGATAAAAATATAGGTGACCTATCTAGAATCTAATTATAAAAAAAACTCTTATATGCAGAACTTATTAAACACAATAAGATGAAATAATAGGTTACTAAGAATTATATTGCATTGATACCTTTATTTCTCTAAGCGTCTTCATCAACCCTCAACAAAAAGTCATAACATTTCTTTGAATTAAGCCGTTTCCGACACTATTTTTTAAACTGAATTTGAAAAAACCGTGTTCTCGTAGTTAAAGAATGTGTCAACCTTGCTATGAACTCAAATGTCATTTGTTGTTCTAAATAATTTTGTATCAGAATTAGCTCGTGGGTGATGGCGACTCTTAACTAAAATGTAACCCTTTCGGAATAACGTATTCGTTTTGAGATTTTTTAGTACACTGTCAATAATACAGGGTGGCCGAAAAGTCTCTATCTATTTTTAGTTAATAATTTTCATGACTTTTTATGGTGCTAGAGAACAAATAAACATGTAAATTTAAACATTATGGATCACATTAAACCTCGATGTATACACCTGCATTGTCAATACATTTTGAATCTAACAGATACATTTTTAACAGCTCTTCGAATAATGTTTTGTGGAACTTTACCAAGAACATGTAAAATGGGAACTTCCAATTCATGTAGTCTTTAGATTCCTTCTGTTAACCTCTTTTGCTCATCCCCACATGAAAAAATCACATTGCGTAAGGTCTGGGCTACGCGCAAAACAGTGATGTGGACTACCTCATCAAATTCATATATCAAGGACTGTTAAATTGAGCCAATCTTGAACAATATTTCAATTATTCACAATGCTACTTTTGAACGGTTTATTATCTCAATGTTTAGTTGTTCTTGCATTAAGAGAGGCATTTATTCCATTCTGTACTCTCCACCACCTCTGGACCTGAACAATAGACTGGTACACTCCATAACAGGAGGCAATTTTTGTACTTTCTTTAATACTTAAAATATCAGCCATAATAGCAGGCTTAAAAACTTCAATCAGTTTAAAATATGAACTACCAACAATAGCATCAAATTAGCTTCAATCAGCTGATAATTTGAGCTACGAAAACCATATGGGTTTTTGGTGATGAACATTTGATGTATTATAAATTCTCTTTGTGTAGACACAACAACATTTTATAGATCATAGTTATAAATATATTTTTAACCAACGCATACTAAAGTAGCTCTAAACTCTGACAATACAGTATATAATTTAATCACAAACCAATGCCATTAATTTGTATAAAGCCAATAAACAAACTAAGCTCAAAGTACCTATATCGTCCATTGTGACAAATGTTTTCTCTATTGCAACTACTAGAGAAAATGAGTATTAAGTCACAATTTATAAATGGAGACGGCCTCGGAAGGAAGTATAGCAACTGCCACAAGGCCGTTCAGAGTCCAGCATACATTAGCATTAGCTAAGTTGAACACCTGGGTCAAGCAAGATGGATTAAATCGAATCAAAACTCTTATGACACAACAATTGATTTTAATGCATCTGAAACATTATGTCCCATCTGCATGGACCAGCTGTAGCCTATTGTTGATCACAAACAACAATGGTGAGCCAGTCACAGAATGTGCAATGGTTGTGATATTTTATCCCTTAGTTTTTGCATTGACTATACACGTTTTAGAGAATTTCCCATATATATAAGCTATTACCGTAGTACTCATGGAAAGACCTGGATCCGGGACCGATTTGATTTTTCGTTTTGAGGTCCCTAGAGGCCAAAAAGACCGCCCGTTCAAATTTATGTCCGTTAGCACGATAACTCGAGCAAAAAATTACCCAATTTTGATGAAATTTGGTATAAACGTGTAAACCTACATTTATTCGAATGAGTTCACGAACCAGCATGATCTGATCATGGAAACGAGGGTTTATGGGGGGTTTTATGGGGTAAAAATTTGTTTTACCCATTTTGACCCTTAAAACATAAAATTTGCAATTTCTTCCAAACCATTTTGTAGTGCTTAAAAAAACATTATTTAGTATAATAAATTACATATTGCGCCTAATGGTTAAGGAGAAAATTAAAAAAATTGTAAATTTAAAACCCTATGTTATTCTTGTGGAGAATAAATAGGCTAACTGTAACTTAGTTTTCTCGTTTATGAACATATTTTGATCAAATTTGGAAAATGCATAAATTTCACACTAAACTGCATACTGTATTAACATTTCACAAAAGCGACTTTTAAACCCTCCCTGTTGCAGCAAACCTAAGTACTTGTTAAACTAATGCTACTCGTATTTAAATGGGGAATAATTTTGTGATATTTTAAAGAGATATTTCAGTGTAAATCCAATCAAGCAAATGGAAATTCGCTTAGTCTGCAGGTTCGCTGTGGCGGGGGTATTTGTTACTGTGATAGTTGATGTAACATAAAAGTTTGTATGTTTCGTTAAAGATTGGTTTGGTTAAAAAGTTTTCGTATCCAACTTCTATGAGAACTTTACAATTAGCTCCGTTGTTGACTTAACTTGTACGCTCAATTTTATTATAAAATTGGCTACGACTTTAGCAGAGAAGTTGAATGTGTATATAGTTCTATCTCTATCCATAGTTAACGATCTATAGTCATAGAAACTGAACATAAAACAATTGCTCTAATAGTTAAGGAAATGTTTGTTATAAAGTTAATTTGTTGCGTTTTGTTCTTACCTCACTTTTGTTGTTGAAGAAGTGCAGTGCAAAATATTAGTTGAAGTCAATCTGTATTTCTATCACGCAATGATCACTGCATTTAAATTTATATTATTTATAGTATACGAACAATAACAATTATTAATACGTGCCAAAGACTACTAGTGCCTTGTTCCTGTTCGACCTAGAGATACACAGTGTGTTAGAAAAGTCCCGAAAACGTTTAGTATATTTTTAACCATTTGATATAAAATATCT